GTCTGATATTTTAGTTTCGACAGACATTTGCTGCTGATGAGATCTGAGGAGCTCCCGGTATCTATGAGGATTCGGCCTACTCTCTGGTTGGCCACTTTACATTCAATAACGAGAGGGTCGTCATGCGGCCCCCTTACCCCTCCTAGATCCTCTTCTGTGATGACAATCTCAGGAAATGTATATTTGGACGGCCGTTCTTGGTGAACGGAATTTACATCTAACCGCCTTATATTATCTTTGTTGCCCCTAATAGTGGGGCCGCCTCCTGATAAGCCGCCTGCAATGGTGTAGACGACTGCATCATCTGTATCGGAACTGTCGGCCTGTTGATTCTTTTTGGTCGACTGCTTTTTTGAGGAAGTGTTCCCCGTAGATTTCTTGACATAAGTGTCAAGATCACCTTGCTCAGCCAAACGGACTAGGTACCGCATGAGACTGATGCAGTCATTGGTGTGATGACCAACGTCATCATGATAAGCACAGATTTTATCTTGGTTCCGGTTGTTTGCAGAACCCTTCATGGGGACCGGCTTCTCAATTGAGAACTGTCCCTTTATTTCTTTTAGGATAAACTGGTTATCCTTGTTAAACACATACTTTGGGGAGTATGGTTTGAATTCTTTTTTCTTTTTCTGGGCCGGCTGTTTAGAGGAATCAGCCGCCCAGACCTCTTTTCTTTTCTCATCTTTGTTAGACGACTGTTTCTGTCGTCCTTCTCTTTTGTCGAACCTTTTCCCATCCGACTGTTTTATTGTACACAGATCAATCGCCTGTATATAGGCTTCTGCTTCAATCAAGGCCTCTTGAAGAGTCGGCTGTTCACCAAGTCTAAGCAACCGTAGCTGCCAGTCCATAGGTTGGACGTTTTTTGCTGCAGGTCCACCAAATGGAGGTGGCTGCATAAAATATTGTTGTTGCGGCACAAATGGTAAGTTTGGTACCGCCTGGGCACTATGAAAGCCGGACTGACGGGAGGTGCCGCCTGACTGACTCTCATGGTACGACTGAGTATGCCCCATCGAGGCATTTCGCAAACTGTCTTGAAAATTTGAAGTAGAAGCCGACTCTGACAATCGGTCACTCTTCTTCTGCTCTAGCAATAGCCGAGCATATGTGAACGTTTGCTTTGACCCGTCCGCCTGAATATGACGAACCGGTTTCCTATTTCCTGTAGGATAACGGAATTTTGTGAAATCAAGGGCAGGTGGCTCCCGCTTCCTAGATTTAGGATGAGGAGTCGCCTCTCGCCCTTGAACTGGCTTCCTCTTCTGTGAAGTGGAAGGTTTCTTGGCCGACTGCTCCTTGACTGAAGCAGGCGGCTTCTTGTTGATCAACTCTTGGATCTCTCCCTTGAAGTCCCTCATGAAGGTCATGAGTTCGTTCCTTGTGATGGGAGCAGACCCATCAGTCGGCTGTTGCCGAGCAGGCGGTGCGCCTGCTGGCTCGCTTCCTGTTTGAAGATGCTCCCGTTCCCTCCTTTCGGTATGACGGGTACGTCGGGCTCTTAGGGTCCCGTCTGGAGCTGTATGAGTTTCAACTTCAAATTCACTTTCGGTGTCATGGTCCGACTGAACTTGAGGGTCGTTTAGGGGACGCCTCTCTTCAGGAGTCGGTACAGACTTGGATGCCATCTCTGAAGTACTCTCCCCACAGACGGCGCCAAATGTTTCGGGGTTTTCTGATGTCCTGCGGGAGAGTTACAATTCCGAGACTGGAACCGGACGCCTGTACCTGCAAAATAACGGAGACTCCTGAGAGCTCCGCCTCCAACGGTCAAGTTAGTACCTGATTAAGGAGTAATTAATACGGAAATTAAAGTAATAAGATCTCTCTAGGTGAGAGTGTTTAATGGTTGTAATCTGCTTTGTTAGCGAGATTAGCCGGTTATTAGTGTTCCGTAATGTTTCTGTTCCTCTCTGTTCTTCAGGTGAGATTAATTGCTTGATGTTTGCTTGATCCCCTTTAATGAGGATTAATTAAGTATTTATAGTCTTGAGAAGCGTGCCACTCTCTAGGTTTAGGGTAAACCTAGGGCTGACCGGGCCTCTAGACAGGATTGGGCCTTGTTGGCCGGTTTTTCCATTTGGCATGGGTGGACACGTGGCGTGCCTCAATTGGTCCGTAGAGGACGTATCTGTGATTGACACGTGGCAGGCTCCTATTGGCCTACGTGAAGGACACGTGGCGGAACCTGGTTGGTCCACTTGTCAGACGGTGATTGGTGGATAAAAATTCCCTAATCAATAGTTATTTTGTCATTGGTAAAAGTTGATTATGCTAGTCGATTGTTAAATTTTTTTGTTTTTCTATGGCTATTTTTTTTCCTCAATTTGAACATGAGGCATTTTGGAGGTATTATAATAGACTAGGCGATTATGTTGGTCTTAATAATGGAATTGAATAATGGGATATGTGCCTAGTGTATTATGAGAGTTTTAATGAAGAAACTAGGACAATTATAGAATCAATGTGTAATGGATGGTTTCTAGCCCAATCACCTGAATATTGTTGGGATTTAATTGAATGGTTGGCTAAGGAAACCTATGAGTGGGAGATGTCTTTACCTAGTAGACCCATCTTAGATAATCTATGCATTCCTACATAGAGTACAACCCTTTCTTGATGTTTTTATTGTCACCCTACATATCATGATGATTCTTTATGTGATGAAAGACCAGTTCCTTATATTTATGATGATGATTAAGGGTGGATTAGAAATAAGCATTATTGAGATGAGGATAAAATTAAGGAAGGGATACATGTCATGAATCTTTTAGAGTATGAAGAACCTTTGGTTGAAAGTCCTATAGAGCAAAGTACACTTGAGAGTAAGGTGATTGATAAGTCGATTGATGAGTCCATGTTTGTTAATTCTATTGTCGATGAGCCTCATGTCCCTTTTGTAGGGAAACTCAATATTGTCCTTTCTTTTCCATTTTTACTTCCTTCGTCACTTCCCTCTTACACCCCTTTGAATGATGTTTACGATCATGTTCTTGATAATGTGTCGTCGAAGGAGACTAACAATTTTTCTTGTTATTTTTCATGTGAGCATAGTTTTTTCATCTCTTTCTAATTTTCTAGGTTTAATAGACTTTTATGGCTAATTTATCATATTTGTCCTTATATTTGCTACATAATACTTTCTGAGTTGTTTGCAAGAACATATGATAAGCTTCTCAGGGCACTAAATTGTTCTGCATTGGTTTATTTATTTCGTACTAGTCATCACCATTAGCTAGTTTTCTTTATTTTTAATCACCTTTTTAACGTTATGTGCTAGATTAGTGCCTTAGTGGAGTAGTTTTTGTTTTTTTTTGTTTTTTCTAGATTAGTTTAGCCTTTTGAACCTTTTTCTTTATTTAATTCTTTTAACTTCTTTTACTTTGTTTTCTTCTCTATTGGTGAGTAGTTGAGGCTTCTAAAACCACATATAGTCCGCAAGAAGGTTGCGCCAAATTCATTTCCTACGCAGCCTAGTTGCGGCAACACTTTTATCGTGCATCAAATCAGTTTAGTCCGCAACCACCCTGTGGAGAGCAGTAGCCAGCCGCAGCCAGCCTGTGGTTGGGTACCTGATAATAATTTTTTTGAGATAAAGAGAGGGAAATTACAGAGCAGCTTAATTCCCTCAAGACCTCCATTGATCTCTGATTTTCTTGAAATTCTTGGTTCAACTCGCTGCTCCTCATTAATCTCTTACCCTATGCGCGTTGTTGCTGGTTTGCTTGTTTAATTTTGGTGCCATTTGGAGGTAATAATCCATGAATTCCCAGTTACTCACTGTGAGTAACAAGTTTGTTACTCACAATGGCATTTCGAAAATTAAGTGGAAGTTTTCCACTTCCTGAGTTGCTGAGTTGGATTCGTCTATGTGTCAAGTTGCTGAGTGTACCTGGAGTATTGTTGAGTGGGGACATCCTTCCGTCAATCTGATTGAGGGATGGCGTTAACTTCCTCACGTTTTGGAGAGAAAATATTCACTTACCCAAAAGCTTGTCCAAAGAATTGGCAGGTAGTTTTCTGTTCATCACACATCGCCGAATTGCACAGACCCAGTTGAAAAATCATGGACATCTTCGAATTACGAGGTATTTTTCTGATCTATTTTATCATCGCTAATTGCAGTCATGAGTTTTGTTCTGTTAGTATCCATGCGCCCACAATTCATGAAATTCAATTCATAATTTCGACCAAAATCGGAATAATTTTGGAAAGTAATTGGATTTTAAGGACTTTTTTTGTTAAAATGGGGTTGAGGTTGTCGGAAATGGCCGGAGTATTTTGTTTAAAATTCAATTTTTTACCTTTTGAAAACAATGTATTGTCTTCGTATGTTTTTTCAAAAACCCCTGTTTTAATTTGTTAGGTTATGTGAAAATTGGTTGTGTTGGTTGTTTAATTGGTTTGTTGATTTGTGTTGATTGGTTGTATTTCTATGTTAGGTTGAACATGTGCTGTGAAAACGTGTTTGGTTAACTTGTGTTAAATTTTATATTATAATGATGTTGGCGTTCTGTATTAATTTGTATCGAAGTAATTATGTTGGTGTTCTTTATTTGAAGGGTGAATTGTTTGTGTTGGAGAAGATTGATATTATGGAAATGGAAACATAAAGCGTTATAAGGGGCAGTGAGGTTGGTGTTGGTGATTGTGGCAGTGGAGTTAAGTTTCGGAGTAACGTCCATATGGAGGAGGGTATAGAAGACGTATATGATGCAGGTAGTTGTGCACTTGACATGGATGTTAGGTATTTATCCCCTGTGGATACAATTCATACAACTCACACTATGGTTGGTAGCAACGAAATAGTTGTAGTTGTTGAGGAGCCTAAGGAAGGGATGGTTTTCCAGTCTTGGCAAGACGTTGAAGCCTACTATAAGGACTATGCTGAGCAGATGGGGTTTGGAGTGACAAGGGCTCAAGGTGTAATTTCTAAGACGGGGGACCCAAAAAAAATCAAAGTCACGTAGAAGTGTGACTGTTGGGGAAAACCCGACATGAGGGCTAGGAGGGAAGCGAAGAAGAGGGCAAAGGCAATGGGTCTTGGAGGTTCAGGTGGTTTAGTTAATGGGGTGGTATGTGAGGATGAATTAAGTGGTATGAAGAGGACTTCGAAAAAGTGCGAATGTCAGGCCCGTGTTTATGCTAAAGTTAACGAAGATGGCTTGTGGGAGTTGAAGAGCATGGAACTAAAGCATAATCACGGGATTGATTCGACAAATTCTAAGCTTGTGAAAGAGTACCACATGAAGAAAATGACCTCCGAATTGAAGAAGAGGCTGGTAGAATTCTATGAGCAAGGTGTACTAATTTCTCAAATACACGGTTGCATGGCGACCGAACGAAAGGGTAACATGGATCTCACAGTAAAAGATTTACAACATGAGGTGTACAAGGCTAGGCGGTTAAAGATGGTTTGAGGGGACTCGGTGGCAATGATCGAGTACTTTGACAAAATGAAAACCAGGAACCAAAATTTTTTTCCATGCTCAACGCTTGGATGCAAGAAGTAGGGTAGCTTATGAGGACTTTGGTGATGCGGTTTGCTTCGACGCAACATACCTAACGAATGAGTACGAGCTCCCATTTGCGAACTTTGTTGGTGTGAACCACCATGGGCAATCGTTGTTGTTGGGATGTGCTCTTATTTCACATGAAGACTGCGATACGTTTGCGTGGATATTTCGACACTGGTTACCTTTCATGAACAATCGAGCTCCTAAAACCATATTGACCGACCAAACGGCAGCTATGCGGAGGCCCCTTGCTGAAGTCATGCCGAACACGGTGCATCGTTGGTGCATATGGAATATCATGAGCAAGATCCCTGAGAAACTTGGCAAGTGTGCACGGTATGTTGTGAAATTCCTCCTCCCGGCTTTACAATTTTCAAAGTCTTGATATTAGTTTGAATGGCGTAATTATCTGATTCCCTTATTGAAGACAAGCTAACCTGTTGTTGTTGTTCTGCTGCTATCATTTTTGTCTAGTTACCAAGAGTTCGTCAACCCCCTCAAAGAGCTGGTGTATGAGAGCTTTGACCCCGAGGAGTTCCAAACCCGATGGGCAGAGTTTATTGCTGAGTATAAGTTGGAGGACAATGAATGGCTACAGAGCCTACACAAAGAGAGTCGTATGTGGGTGCCTGCGTACGTGAAGGAGTTTTTTTGGGCCGGTATGAAGACCACACAAAGGGTGGAGAGCATCAATCGGTTTTTTGACGGCTATGTGAACCGCAAAACAAAACTCCATTAGTTTCCTCAAAAGTATTGCATGGCCTTGGATCAACGCGTTCGAGATGAACTGAGTGCAGATGCGCGTTGCTCGAAGTACCTTAGGAGGTTGGTTAGTGGATTCAAAGTCAAAAAAATATTCCAAAAGTTATACACGGACAACAAGTTTCAAGAAGTTCAAAAGGAGTGTACGAGAATGATGTATTGCAACGTCCGAGGAGAGAAGGTTTTGTCTGAAAACCTTATTCAGTATTCGGTGGTCGATCATGTATGGATAGTACCTCCCGGTGCGAGTGAGGATGTCATTACAAACAGGCGATGAACCTACAATGTTACTTTCTTTCCAATGACAACGGAGGTGCAGTGTGACTGTAGGACGTTTGAGACAAGTGGCATACTTTGCAAACACTGTATTAGGATTTTGGATGCAAACTTGGTTGAAGATCTACCAGAGAAGTACATACCCCGGAAGCACACTAGGGTGAAGGTGGCCTACCATGATCCGGGGGACATGTTTAATGTGAAGAGATTCAACAAAATGATGCGAATATTCGAGTCTTTATGTGAAACCGCTGCCATGGTGGACGATCAAACGGTCTATAAGGTAATTGAAACACTATCGAAGCTTCAATTAGCTGTTAATGAGCGTAGGGATAAGAAGAGTAAGGAAATTGTTCCTGTAGCTGTAGTTAGTACATTGTCATCAGCCACTGAAGGCAGAACGTTTTCCATTGTTAGGAATCCTGCTCCTGATGCTACTGCCGTAGACTCCTGTCCAGCTGCCATGGACCTTGTTATCAAAGACCCTATAATTAAGAAAAGGAAACCTAAGGGTTAAAGGCACAAAAAGTTAGCTGAAACTAGCTACAAGAAAACCAACAAGAATAAGAAGCCTAGCCCAGTAAAATTTATACTTTCTTCAATATTTAATGGGTCTGATTGCTTATCCTGTTATTTTTTTCTAACTGTTGTTATATCTATTTCTATATCATACAGGAGCATGTAGGAAATGGTGTTGAGGAGGATGCTGGAAGTGGTGGTGAGGAGGAGGATGCAGCAGCAAATGGTGTTTAGGAGGATGCAGCAGCAAATGGTGTTGGGCAGGATACATGTGTTGAGGAGGAGGAAATGGTGTTGTAGGATCTGTTGTTTAGGAGGATGCAGGAAAAGGCAGGAAGTGCAAAACCCGGTAAGACAAAGGGGAAGACAACAAATGCAGGAAATGGTGTTGAGGAGGATGCTGGAAATGGTGGTGAGGAGGAGGATGCAGCAGCAAATGGTGTTGAGGAGGATGCAGCAGCAAATGGTGTTGGGCAGGATGCAGGTGTTGAGGAGGTGGAAATGGTGTTGTAGGATCTGGTGTTTAGGAGGAGGATGCAGGAAAAGGTTGGAATGGAATAACCCGGTATGTCAAAGGGGAAGGGGAAGGGGAAGGCAAATACGTCTTCTCGGAATCTACCTGTAAGTTTTAATACGAAATTTATGTAATTTCTACCTCAGTGATTATTTATATGACATTGAACACATCGCACCTGTCACAGGTGAAGCAGAAACGTCTTGATGGACTAATGGCCATTTCGTGACCATTTGAGTTGCGTCGTTAAATTAATATACACCGAGTCTATTAATACACGTTATTGTACATAATACGATCATCATTGGAGGAATGGAATGTAAATGACAATATTCCAATTGTTTTTCAGGCCACAAACACCAACACATCACAGTTTTCGCGATGTTTTCCTAGGACCTGGAATCGCATCTCCAAGAAAGTATTTTAATTCGTTCACTTCACACTACACGTCGTCTAAGAACAGATTTGCTCGAGCAGTAGGAATCTTCCCCTATAAATGTAAGAACAGAACAAACACTTTAGCCAACCATTTCAGAGATCTTCACACAAAAAACAGATATATACACCACCTACCACACTGAACCTCATGGTGAATCTTCTTACAAAGAACTTAACATACGCCAGCATAAGAACACCGCAGTATGAGCTGCATATTGGAGGACAACAATCAATACGAAAGCTGAAGATACATTCTCCTGACCTTAAAGGTAGGTTGATAGTTATTGGCATAGTAAGCAAACAAGGAAACACAAGTTCTTACTTATCCTTTGGCTCTAAGATCTCAATAGTGCATCTGCTCCAAGAATGTAGCTGACTAGCCTTCAATGCTGGGTCACGGAGTCGGAAAAGGACGTCGATGCCACTAAGCTGTATTTTCACAAACCTATTACACATTACCAAATGGTCCCAATAAATACCATGTTTGTTTAGAATGAAAGTCATTAGTTTTAGTACTAGAAAATCAATCTCTTTGGCATGTGTGGCGAGCGGGTAACGGTACATGGAATCTATCATCCATAACTTTGAGCCTTCATGTGTAATGCTAAGCACCACTAGTGCGACTCCTCAGGGCAATCCTGAGGAACTTCAGGGACAGGGACAAACACCTGGTTAATTGACAATGTCAATGCCGTTAGCACAATTTAGCGCATATGCATGAAAAACACATTTAAACCTATATTATTGAACTATGTGAGTAAGTTGCTAACCGCTCGAATATCCTACAGGTTAATGGTCAGGAGAAATTTGGCATAGTTGTTACAAATATGTTCTTCTTTTCCTTCGTTCAACAACAGTCGATTCTACGATCCAGACAATTAAAACAACAAGCATGACCATCATCAAATGTGCACGTAAATATGATACCCCAAAGGTGAAATGAACCCTGAACCACTTACCGAAAAACTTGGGTCAACCAAAATACGCTTGCTTCTGTTCCAAAAGTCTGTAGTGGCCCATTGCTTGGGGTATAACACACTGGCCATTTTAACGTAATTAGTGGAAACCCGCGATTTATTGTGCACCACTTCATAGCAATCCCTCCGGTTGGCTTTCATGCGATCACACTTTATCATCACCATACCAGGGCTTTGTGGTGAACCATCATCATAACACCTAGTATACACATAAACATATTAGAATTTACAATTAAAACAAAAACTTTGCAAAAGACATGTTCAATAAAAAGACCTTTCACACTCAATTACACTTTCCTGAATTACCTATGTGGATCCTTCAGGTCCTTCAACCGCTTTACAAAATGCAGTAGACGTGTCTCCAACGCTGTATGGCGACGGTTGTTTGACACATTGGTGAACATGGCAGACAAGGCTGCCTCGATAGGTTTCACCACCCTCTTATCAGTAGACTCATCTTCCTAATCAGATGAAGATGACTTTTCTAAACTGCACCGAGCATCAACCAAGACAGTCTTTCCCCTCGTCCCAAGCAAGCCCACAACTATTTCAGGTCCAGGCTCCACGTTCCCATCTTCAACATCATGATAAAAAAAACAGCCATTTAACTCTGAGAGAACACCCTCATCAGCCCCAACCACCTTGGATTCATCCCCAACCACGTTGGCCACACCCCCAGCCTCTGCATACAGTGGATCACCCGACATATTTCGAACCACATAGTCAAGGTCATCGTCACCAGAAAGAGCGTGAGCGTGATGGTCTTCCCTACAAACTACGTTTGCACCTTCTTCCAGTTGTGTCTTCCCCAACAAACAACTGGCCAAACCCTGTTCTTCATGCGCAACACCATCCTTCTCCGTTCGCCTACCCCTCTCAATTGCCTCCCCTACTCACTCTCTGGCATTAGCTACGTCAACACACTGCGACATCAGCTTATGCAGTGATTTCATTACGTCAGCTAATTTAAAATCTATCAGAGCCACCAACTTCGGAGTAATTCTATCCGACACCTTCAGAAAAGCATAAACACAAACTATTAACAACTGCCATAGCACGTGTCACTTATTTTTTATACATTATAGAGCTAAATATGAAAGTATCATTGACTTGGATTATGCCTGCTGCGTAATATTTTTTGCGTCTATCAAAGCCACCAACGTTGGAGTAATTCTATCCAACACCTTCAGGAAAGCATAAACACAAACTATTAGCAACTACCATAGCACATGTCACTTATTTTTTACACATCACAGAACTACATATGAATGTATCATTGACTTTGATTATACCTGCTGCGTAATATTTTCTGCGTCTACCTCCCGCGTAGTCCGTTGCACATATACGCTTTCCACCCTTTGGTTTTGATCCTCCCGGGGACTTAACGGATGCGGCTCCCCATACGCTACATTCAGCGACTGAAAAAGAAGCAAACACAACAGCTTCAGCAGGGATGTATTCCCATCAAAAGAAAGTCAAAGTAATACTAATTCGCAATTTCTCGAAATCCCAGATTGTTTTTTGTCATCGCCAACCACCTCATTGATCTTTTCTCCGCACCATGCCTCCAGTCTTGGTCTCACACCCCACCTCATTAGTACGCGACTGAGGTGATCTAGATAAAAAATCTACGAAAAAAGGACATGATAGAAAATTAGATAAGATTACTAAAAAAGCATTTGATCTAGAGTGGCAAATACCAACAATTTCCTCACCAACAAAAAAAGGATACAACCCCCGCAACCTGCTACATATCCATCACGAGCAAATTTCCTTTCGAAACCCTTGGCTGATACAACCATCCGGTTAAATACATAAGTGCACCAGTCATACTCATCCGCTTCATCGTAAACCAACAACGACGGTACAAGCTTCACTCCAAGGTAGCTTGTGTTTGCCGTAGCACACAGTATGCAACCCAGAGCTGCTATGAGAAAGCCTATCTTGAAATCAGCATTCTCGTCATCCGACAACGTCAACACATTACCTTCCTCATCCTGTCTAATCAGTGCCTCCAAAGCAGATACTAATGAAATGTGTTCCTTTTTTCCAAACTTCTCCAAGATTATGCGATGCTCTGCCTGCTTATCCTCAGGAATCGTACACGGCAATTCCCGCGACCCCATGGGAATCCCAAGTACATACTCAACGTGCACAAGACTCAAAGGAAGCACACACTCATCTCTAAAAGTTATGGAACCATCAGCCATCACCCTTGTCAACAGCCAGTACACAAACTTCCGGGGTACATAAGTCAGGGGAATACTTAATAACCCTCCAAACCCCATTTCTGTGACCAACTTCTTCCTAGAGTCATGCAGTTGCAAAAGCTTTCACACCATGCAAATTTGGGGCCTACAACAATACATTCAAACAAGACAAATGACCGATTAAATTCCTTCTAAGTTACACTTCGAACCAAATCACAACAAAAACTAAATATAAACTAATTATACAATCCCATTCAAACTACTTGCGAAGTTGCGAATATTGTCCAACGGAATTTAACCTTACTTACGGATTCACATTAGTCATACTTAACTTACAACTCAACTACAATTTACAATTAATCTTTAGTAATTCAGTTCAATTACCCAACAACTCCCTTCACTAAACAAATTCCCAACCACAAAACATACCAGACATTTTCGTGTCATGGATTTTAACAAATAAAGTTCAGAGAGTACCTTCTGCGTACTTCTTGATTGGGTTTTAACGAAAACCCCTTTCTCCTTCACCATGTCTCCCTTCGTCTTCACGACCTACACATGACATTACACATTTCATTTCTCCATCCAAGTGTTACACATCCAATAAGCTTTTACCATTTCCATCCAACATGACATACCTTTAGCTTGCCCCTTTTTTCTGTCCGTTTCTCAATATGACCTCGCTTATGCTTCCCTTTGTTAACCCTGGCCCGCAATAACTGGATCATGAAATCCTGGTAGCTCATTTTGTCCTTTTCTGGTTCGTCCTCACTACCTTGACCATCATCCTCCGCATCCTCATCTTCCTCATAATTGGCACATGGGGAATCAACATCATCAGAAAGAGCTTCATCAATACTAGATTCATATTACCACGAGCATCATATCCAGGTTCATCAGAGTCCTTTAAATACTCTTCCTCAAAAACTGGATGTGATTTCAGTTTCTTCTTCCCTTTACTAGCTGCTTTCTTATTAGGCACCGCTTCGTTCCCTTTAGACCGCCCCTACACAAGCAAAAAAACTTGCCACCCTAAAACAACTACAACACACAACCGGTACTACCCAAATGCAGCAAACATAGAATCGTTAATAT